GGGAGGAGACTGGGCATGACCCAGATGTCTTGGTCCATGTTGGGACCAATGACAAAATACATGGAAGATGGAGGATCCTTAAAAAATCAATTTAAAGAACTAGGTTGCAAGCCCAAGGGCAGGACCTCCAAGGTAATATTCTCTGGAATATTGCCTGTGCCATGCGGAACCCAGGGCAGACAGCAGGAGCTTAGAGAACTAAACGCATTGCTGAAGACCTGGTGTAAGAGGGAAGGCTTTGTGTTTCTAGAGCACTGGGCTGACTTTTCATTGGGGTACAACGTATGTATGCACCTTAATTGAAGGGGGGCTGCTGTGCTAGGGGAGAGGTTCATTAAAGGGTTGGAGGAGTATTTAAACTAGGATTGAGGGGGGAGGGAGAGATGGAATATAATGGTTTAGATATGTTAAACAGGTGTCAGACTATAATGGAGGTTGGAACTGGGAAGATGGGGGGAGGGAAATCAAACTGGATAAGGAGATTCCCATGTTGCAAACAAACATTGGAGATTATAGTACTAAATTGTACCACAACAAAAGATACAGCAATTACGAGTGAAAAATTTAAAAATGGCTTGAATTGTTTGTTCGTCAATGCCAGAAGTCCGCACAGCAAAATGGGAGAATTTGAAGCTTTGGTGCATGAGGAGAACTAAGATATAATTGGTATTGCTGAATCTTGGCTTGGTTCTTCACAGGATTGGGCTGTTAATATTCCTGGCTATGCTCTCTTTCGGAGAGACAGGGTAAAACGAGAAGCTGGCGGTGTTTGTCTCCATGTAAGAAGTGATCTAAAAGTGAGTGTGAAAGAGGACTTTGTTGATGGTGAGTGTGATGGTGCTGAGGCGTTATGGGTGGAGTTGTATACTGGTACGCATAAAGCAAAGGTAATTGTTGGAGTTTGTTACAGGCCCCCCCAGCGTTAATGGATAGAGACTGACTTCCGGTTCCGGCGCCTGATGTAGCGGACGCAGAGTGCAGAGCTCCCGCACGGCCAGGGCAGAATCTAATATAAAATCTAACTTCATCTACTCAAACTAGCCCGTGGACACCACAATTGTCTCCAGGACATACTGGAGCATGGATAAATTCCAACGGACCTCGCGGCAAGGGAACTCCTGTCCGGGGTAAGCGACCATCAGACCCAGCCCAAGATGGCCACCACCCCTGACCTACGGGATGTCAGCGCCTCCTCGGAGGATGATTTGCCAGCAATGTCCGACCACAGCATCATAGCTTCAGAAGTGGCTAAACTGCTGCGCCCTACAATTCAAGATGCAGTGAACAAGGCAGTGTTCAAGGGCATACAATCTCTGTGTCACGATCTATTGAACCAGGCCCAGAGAATAGCAGAGGCGGAAGCCCGCATAACATCCCTGGAGGAAGGAGCGGATTAATCGTCCACCCATATGCAATCCACCACCAAGCAGGTACAATTTCTCCTTGACCGAGTCAACGACCTCGAGAATCGATCACGCCGTAACAACGTGCGGATCGTGGGCCTCCCCGAAACATATCGTCCATCATTACTGGCAGATATCTGCGCCCACAACATTCCGGACCTCATCCAACATCCACGTCCGGTCATAGCCCGATATCTAGACTACACAGATCGTCTGGCGATTCTGCAGGCCTTTCGCGCCAAAAAGTAGCTCTATCTAGATGGCCATCGACTTCTCATCTTCGCAGATTACTCAGTGGAGGTCACCAAAAAACGCAAGGCGTTCAGCAAGGTATGCTCACTCTTATACCAGAAAAGGATCAGGTTTACCCTGGCATACCCAGCGATTCTACGTTTCCAAACAGAGGATGGATCCCCTCATGCGTTCCTAGACCCCGAGGCGGCACTCAAACTCGTGGAGCAGATGGAATCTCCAGCCAGACACGAGGCGGCCGGACGGTCCCCTGCCCTGCAACGGCTCACCACCCCAGCTAGAAAGACCTCGGTACACCTACCTATGACACCCACAGATTCACCTTGACACAAGTAGGCAGTATTTGCATCTATACTCGCCGAAAGGTACATTCACCTTCTTTCTCCATGGGGGTGTCTGGGAAGGGCAATGAAGGGCTATTTAGAACTTGACTTTCCCACACTCCCAGTTTACAAGGCCCATGGGATATAACAACGGGAGACGTCTTCTATTTCGGCTGCTCCGGAAAACAAAACATCCCAGCCCCTTCTCCCAGTGACACACTTAAGGGGAATGACAACGCATATC